AATCAGGAAGTACCAAGTGACAGGAAGTGAGGACTCTTTAAAAGTCAACACTTCCTGGGATCATTCAGTGTTCCTTCAGTCTTACACCGGAGTCTTCCACTTCTGAGTGGAACTATGAAGTCTTCCAGCTGAACTGAGAAGCTGATGGAATGGGACCATGTGCAAAGGGGTCCGTCCATCCCAGTGGAGTCACAGCGCCTCGCTGTGAACTCACCCGGGCGTAACGCCCTACAACTTCGAAGGAAGCTTGTTCTGTTGAACGGAGTAAACCACACGACTTCTGACGATGACCAGCCACTTTAACCGGAGACGCTGTGAAGGGATCGTACTAATGGACTTCTGTTCCGGAGTGGAGGCAGCCCCCATCTAAGGTAACAAAGTCTCTGCACGTCCTCAAGTGTACCGGAAAGCTGAGCGGGGTGTTGAAAGAAAGAGTGCTAATTCTGGTCAACAAACATACATCTTCCTTTTAAATCTATTTCTCCTCTTTAACTTTTCTATGAATCAGCCTCGATCAGTAATGTTCTGTTGTCTTGTTAGTAAAGCATGCCAAGTTTATTAATCAGAACCAGATCAGCAAATCAATGTGTACATGTTTGATGTTAAATTTTGATTCTGTTAAATAAATGACCGCATTTATTCTGATGGGTCAAAGATAAAATGGCGTCTCATGTCACTGATTAAACAATCCACTCACAGTTATCTCGGTCACTTGGCATTAATTTAACTCGAAAAAGAAATAATCCGTTGTAATTAACAATTAATATTCTTTGTGCTTGAACTAGCTTTAAGAATAATTAATTAGTAGTGAAGTTACAGCAAAGCTGTCCCTGCATCACTACACCCTCATCGCCTCAGATGTGTGTCCCATGAGTGTGTGGATGTGATCAAGCTCTGATCAGTCTTTGTATAGAAATAATAAAGTGCTAATGAGGCACAGGTTGTTGTAAAGAGCTTTGAGTGTCCTGATAAAATAGAAAAGCACCATTTAAGTACAGTCCATTTACCGTGTAAAGGCCGAGCATTCTTTGAAGAAATGCATATCGCTCAGTTTTTAGAATGACATCATTCATTTTTGGAAACGACAGTTTTAGTTTGATGAAAAGTAGCAAACGACTTGAGTCGGAGATAAGCCAGAAGTCAGGACTTTTCAACATCAACTCTGTCTCTAACTGGTCCTAACTGACCACAAATCAAGTCACTGGACACAAAAAGTGTTTTTTTTTACTAAAAGAATAAATTTTATTTCAGCACTGTAAGTCATTTCCCAACCAGTACAAACATGACTGCCTTCTTTGTCTCTTCCTGAACCTTTCCTCCCCTCCCTCTGTGACGTCAGACCACCAACAGCCAGACAAATTAAAAACTAAAAACAAATCTTTCATTTTTCACCTTTCAACAGACCCTTTGGTGCTTTCATAATGCTAACAATGACAAATTATACCAACCATAATTATAACAACAAGGATGATAATATTTCTATAACAATTATATTATGGAAAGATTTGAACTCTTTTCTGCTGCACAGGTTGATGGGGTGGTTAGAGGTACTTGGGGAGGAGTGGCAGTGTAGAGAGAGACAGACAGATTTAAGGGACCTTCAAGCAACTCGTCCATGATGCAGATCAATCAACAGATCAAACTGAACCAGTAGTTCTGTTTGACAGACAGTAATACTGCTTCACTTCCACACAACACTCTTGTTCTGGGACTTGCTTCTAATCAGTCCAGCTCTTTTAGAGACTCTTTTCAAGATCAGGGCAGTTGGAGCCAAGACTGGATTTTCCTTTCAACGTCTGATTACTGAGCGTTCCAGGTTCCTCTCCGTGGATCACGCACACCTTCACTTTTAAGGGATGTAAAAGTGAAGACTGAGTGCAACTAACAGCATTATTGATTGAAAAACTGCCTAAAAAAACTAAATTCATTGTTTAAAGTCCAAAACACAAACAGCTCTAGTTTACACAGTGGAAAATAAAACCAATTTTATGTATTTAAAGTCAAAATTTAAAAAAAGAGACTGAAAATAGAGCAGATTCACTCCAATTTCAAAAATATTCTAATAAATTGTATTAATCAGTGAAAGTTTTAACTTTCTCCTGAATATGTTGCGTAAAATGTCCAGGAAGGCTTCAATAAACTCAGACTCGTGTTTGAAGGACAACCCAACCTGTGTGCTTGCTAACACTCAGAACAATTCAATGTATGAAAAAATACATAAAGTGCCACAAATCCCAACATGAAGGCATTTCTATCATTCTTTTCTGTTTTTGTGTAGTTTTGCTGTAAGCGTGGTGACTCACGGGACTGGACTGACACAAACAGCTGGAAGTCCTGGTGCGTCCTGTCCAAACGTGTCGCAGGAAACTACAGCCCCTGTCCGTCTGCATCTCTGCGACTGCCACATTCCTCACACACTTGTCAAACTAATCACGTGCTGCCATGTCAGAGCTATATATAAAATCAGACTAATCAGTAAACTCGTTACGTGGTGTGGGGAGGATTATTGATGTTGGGAAGAATGTGGGTGGTGAGGGTGTACTTTGGTTCTCAGATGTTCTAAAACATGCTTTGCTGCTTTGTGCAAGGGCGCAGAGTTCAGCTTAGACCCAAGAGATAAACTGTTATCAGGAATACGATGAGAATCAAACAGTGCAGACTATCTTCAAACTGGAAGGAGTGGGAGAAATGTCTTCTACAGAGTAACGGAGAAGTGGTGTAAAGACGCCATCTGAAGGAGCATGTGAGCGGCCATCTTTACAGTTCCAATCTCTAGGTTGGCTAAGCATGTTTCATACTAACTGACGTGATGGTAGAAGGTTAAGATTAGATGGAATTACATTAAAAATAGTAAGAAAACACATTTGCACAATTGAATAAAACGGTTGTTGATTTTTTTTTTCTTTTTTAAATCACTCTGGCTAGATACATATAGAAACTGATTATCAACGTTAATATAACCTTTACTGTTAGTTGGGTTGATTAAGGGGCGGGGCAGCCCAGAGAAAGAGAAGAAGAAAACAAGAGCCAATAGAAACGGTCCTACAGGCCTAACGTAGAGGCAGAGAAACGGGGTGAGGGTGACACCTGTGTGCACTACATCTGTGTGTGTGTGTGTGGCTACTTTTAATGTCAGTGAGTGAGTGTGTGTGTGAGAATGTGTGCACTCTATAAGGATCCGAGGAGCGTCTGAGGGTAAAGAAGTGAACAAAGAGGGAGGTGAGAGAAACAAGTAGATAAATCACTGATCGATACCTATTGAACTAAAACAGACGAGGACAAAGAGGGACATTAAATCATGTGTTGTGTTTAATATTTTGTCTCCAAACTAGCTACTGTGTAACTGTGGACCGACCATTGATGTGTGTGCATGTGTGTGTGTGAGGTGTGCAGCTGTCTGTTTGCGTGCCTGACACGTGACGTGTCGTTTGTGTTGGAGCTTCAGTGCAAACCTGACGTCATGGGAAGCTGGTCAGTAGAACATGTTACCAAATGATCTCTGATGAACGGACACCACTGGACTCAACTGAAACTGCACAAAAATATATCACTTCAGCACAAAAGCAGAGAGAATGCTGCTGGTAACAAATACAACTGATGTGTGTGTGTGTGTGTGTGTGTGTGTGTGATCCGGCGAGCAAATCGAGGGCATCATACACGGGACCATGCTCTGGCTCGCTGCTCAAGCCATCTTTATTTGTCACAATATATTGTTGCGATCCATGTTATGTGAACGAATGTCGAAGCTTGAAATAGTTGAATATAGAAGTTGTAGTAATCCTGGACTTAGTATTTCAGCCAGTAGAGCTCAATTGTCTCGTCTAGTCTTGGTGTGTGTGTTTAATGTTGCGTGTTAAACCCTGGCGCTGGAACTGGACTCTTCAGACTAAACACCCGCTGCACTCGTCTGCTCGTTGTCTAACAACGGCCTACAGGTCTGAAGGTTTTGTTGGGCGTCGGTGAGGAGGCGGTGCTGTGCACCACCGTCACAATCAACGCGTGGCAGCCGGTGGTCAACGCGTCACTAACTGTTGAGGTCGACCAACGCAGAGATATTTAAAGTGACTACATTAACACGTACAGTGTCAGCTTGTTGCTTGGAGACATGTCACACGAGCTTTTTGTCAAATTTGTGGCACGTGATAGAGCACAAGTCATAACATGCTCAGAAAATAAGGTGCTTCTAGTGGACTTGCCTTTTTGTGTTGAAGTCAATTTCAGACTTCCTTGGAACGATCAGATTAATGTTGACGGGGAGCATCTCAGGCAGATCTTCCACTTCACTGCAGCTGTGCTACCAGTCGCACCTGAACTGCTCTCGTCAGATAAGAGCCACTGCAGGGTGGTGGGGGTGGCACGCTTCATTGTCTACAAACATAAGTGCTCTAAAGACGTCCATAATATGAAGTCTGTGGCTGTGAGCGGCACACTCCTGTCATGTGACGCAGCCTGTGGTCTCAGCTGAGTGTAAGTTAAAGACTTTGGGCCCAAACGGTTCGTGCTGATCTGAACTGACGGAGCCAGCGGCGTGCGCGGCAGCAGCTCGTCCTTTCATCATCACATGCCGCCTCAGACAGCAAGCACGGACATTTCCTTTGGAAAGAACACATTGAACGTCTGAACGGATTTCCAGGAGTCTTTGACCCGAACATTCGAGACCTCCTTCATTGTAAAGATCTTAACCAAACGTGTGAGGCATCAACTCGGACTCAACTTTCACTTTCCACCTCTCTCCGTTACTGGGCAGCATCATTTAGGTTTTTTGGCCTTGACTCAAGAAGGTGCCTCATTTTCTCTAAAACTTCTTATTCTCTTGGTAGAGGACTGTCCAGTGTGGCTTAACTTTTTTTTAAACAAAGTGCTTTTTTGAAACCACTCTGTTCACATTCTGACGTCTCTCAAATAAATCTCTACCTTTAAATGTAGTTCTACATGTCATAAAGATTTACTCCGGAGCAGGGGGACATCCCTGGCAGAATGTTATTCCAGCTGTATGGGGCTTAATTAGATTGATCATGTTTAAATACATCATTAAGTGCTTCTGCTGGGCTAATACAATCAAAGCTTTGGGACAAAAAGACAAAGGACTATCTTGCATACTTCAGGGCTTAAGGTGCATCAATTTATGGGGTTTCTTAGCACATCTAAGGACTAGGCTACATAGGTCAAAATAAGATAGCACACTATAACCATGATGGTGCACAAGTGCTCCAGTGATAGATAACCAATCAATTGATAAAGTGGGGGCTTGCGCTAGCACACAATCTATCACTGTGTGCATGGGGCGGGGGTCACTGCACAGAGGAACGGTACACCACTGTGTTGAAATTATTCTCACCAGAGCTCAACTATCAGTTCACGTCAGACAAACTCCTCTATGGCAACAAGCCCCATCAATCCAACAGTGACCACAGCGACAAGGCGTGGCAACTGTAACCATGGAAACCACCTCTGATCCATCACCAGAGCCGCATCCTCAACAATCGTGCAGAATTCCAACTAATGGGACCATTAAAAGCAAACAATAAAAACCTCGAGCTGTACAGACATCCCTGCTGAGGGGCTACAGGGCTCATTAGATGGTGGGCTGAGAAACGGGACAAAAACTTCAAGCCTTTTTAGCTTCGAGTGCAAGAAAGCGACATTTAGGATTCTTTTTCTTTTTTAAGGAGTGGGGCGCTTATGAACTCATGGAGAAAACTCTTTTTATGAAACGTTGTAAAACCACATGAGCAAAATCAGGGGAGAAACAGCTAACTGCTTCAGTCGATCAGATGGGGCAGGAAGTGAAGCAATGAGTTGTTGCCCCACTTCCTGCTCCATGTGATTTAGCATGAGGTTAGCAGACAGGGCAACAAATAAAAAACAAAAGGGGGGAAAGGCAGTCAAACACAAACAACTCTCTGAGAGCGGTGCATCCTGGAAAGAATGACATCACTCCTCCTTTTGTAGCGCTTCGTCTGACGGGCAGTCGTCAAGGCAACAGGGGCCCTCCACCTCCAACCCCTCTGATTGGTTGTCTTTGCTGGCTAAGGCACACGGGATTGGCTGGACCAGAGGGACCAGCTCCAGGGGCTGGTCGATGGCAGAGGCTGATGAGCTGCCGTTCAGCTGCTGAGTTGTAATCTCTGGCATGGAGCCCACCTCCTCTGGAGGCTTCGAGGGACTGCCGGCTGGGGGGGATGATGTCTGAGGAGGAACCGTTAGACCAAAGATTAGAACAGAGAAGTTGCACTTTGCTTTCTCTTGTATTCTGGTGCCGTACCTGTGTTCTGTTGGCAGCTACCTTTTTCCCTCCCTTCACTTTTGCTGGAATCTCCTTTCCCCTTCTGTAAAGAAACAAAAGAAACATTGAGAGTTTTCCACCAACTTATTGAACCTATGATAATTCCTAAAATGAGCAGCAGCAGCAGCAGCAGCAGCAGCAGCAGCAGCAGCAGCAGCAG